CTTGGAAGACTTAGTGGAAAGTAGTTCACTTTCACTTGTATGGGTCGACCCTCTTTACCAAAGTCTGGTCGTCTAGGAAAGATACTTTTGTTGATTCCACTAGTTCCGAAAGCTTGACAGGGAATGTCTGTGAAAGAAGTTGTTGCATTGCAAGATTCCTTTGGAGTATTGACAGAATCTTTGCCAGAAGTCCTGGAATGTACATTTCGTGAGATGGAAGTTTGGTCTGTATTACTGTTTGAACTTTCTACAACAAAAATTTTTTTTGAATGTTTAGAAAAAAATCATAAAAAATAAATTAATATTCAAAATGGAATAAAAAAAAAACCTTACCATTTTTTGTTCTAGAATTGACACACAATTTGTGCAATGAATTACAGTTATGAGAAACTCCAAACTTTTTTGACATTCTGTTCAATTTCACTTGAAATACCTGGAATAAAAAACATTTTAAATTAATATTAAATAATGAAATAAATTAATAATAAAATTATAAATGAAAACAGTTTCACAATTGAATTTAATTATGAAACTTTTTTTTTTTGTTAGAATTTACTTGTTTATAAAATGAGAAGTACTTCTCTATTATTGGAAATGTAATAACATCTAATCACAGAATCTCTTCAGCATCCAGTAAAACATGGAAGATGAAACAAATATTTTTGAATCCACATAATTCCAGATTTAGGTTGAATAGTTTGTTTCTATTGGAATGAACCAAATACAACAGTTGTGTAGTATTTGAATTTGAAAAGACCAATAAGAGACATGCACTGATCATCCAGGCTATAATGATGTTTTGTCCCTTGCTCTCCATGCTTTAGATAGTTGTATCTCGTCCTTAGAGTTTATGCAATTGGAATTAAGGCTGGCTTTAAATATTTCAATGGACTCTAAGACACATGAAACTTCCAAACACAAACTAAACGCTCAATTTTCAGATGCTGTTTTTTTGGAAAAATGCTTGAGAAGTGGATCCTATTATTTGGACAAGGTACTGTGTGTTTAGGGCTACATGATCAAGTTTCATTTAAATTGGAGAACAAACAAAAGGGAATGGTTCCACTCATATGAAATTTGTTTTGGTTATGATGAGAAGTGATGAACACATATCTCATCTCCAATCAGAATTTAATCCAAAAATTCCTGTCCTTCTCTGCAATAATGATCTAAAACTGCAAGAACTGCTTGAAAACGTTGCTCCTTGAGGTACAATAATCTTTTGGTAGTCACCATCTTACCGAGGTGAGAGAGTTTAGTAATTCTAATCAACTATAGAGCAATGCCAATGACATCGACATTTCAAGGTGTCCCAAGTCCAAAACTAAAAATTTGGGGGGGTCATTTTTTGACTGATTGCTACACTTTCCTTCTGTTATACATAACAGCCGGGAAAGTAAAAATTATTGAATACATATTTATAAATTGCCTATCATTACTTAGAAGAGTCTTTTACCTTTGGAATAAAATAGTTTCTACATTTTATCTTTATTAGAACTCTATTTATTGAAGCTTTTATTCTGAGGTCACATGATGACATCAGAATTCCCAGGCCTATTTTGGTAACAAGTCCACTCCTGGTTGGAGTCAGATAAGGCAAATTTGGAGTCAATAGATTTTTACATGATTCCACAGCCCTGGTAAAAACTTTATGCTGGAACTTTCTGGATTAGTAACATATTACATAAAATAAATGACAACTATAATATTTTAATTCAAAATAGTCAGTATTTTGTTATTACCCTGACGTTATGTCCATTTATAAGCAAATTTTGAAGTTTTGAAATAAAAAAACAAATTTATTGTAGGATGTTATTTTTTGCAGAAACTAAGATATTAAGGATAAAGAGAAACTTGTAAATCTAAGCCATTATTATTACAAACAAGCCAGTTTTTATAAGTATCTGTTTAAAATAATAGTATCTTTCATCTAAGACACAGTATAATCATTCTACATGTAACATAAAAAAAATAAGCTTGTATTTGTCATGGAACATCATGTTAGATGGCAGACACAAAATGTGTCAAATGCTTTCCCATCACTTGATCACAATACTTCCTAAAAATATCACTTGCTTCAGTCATGCAATATCTCCAACATCTTTTCTGAAAACTTCTTCTCATGGAAGACTTCATTCTCTAGGGCTGAACTTTGAATGCATCATGTAATAGAGCAGAGACATCATATTTCCTAACACATAGTTCACCTACTTTTGGACTACGAAGAGTTTGTGGACCACAGTTTAATAAACATTACATTTAATTACATTTTCTGTAATATACTACAACAAAACCCACCAAGGTAAGATTTGACAATGTCAATCAATTTTTCCACATTAACACTACAAAAAACAGAACGAATAAAATAATTATAAATTTGTTATCTAAGTTTACAAATATATAACTTATATTTTATATAGCCAATCATTTTATTTTAAAATTTGAACTGATGTTATGTAAAAATAATACACAAAGATTTTTCTGTTTGGATATAAAACGTTTCATTTAAAATGATCAATTATTTATTATGACATCATCACAATGCCTGGCTACAATTTTTAATCATTCTTAATTTATTGACAAGACTATGACATGTTTATAAAATCAAACTGCCAGTTTATGTTACCAGCTTACAGGTATGGAGTACGTGTCGAGAGTTGATAATTGGCACAGAGTATTAGGTGTCCAAATCATTTGTGCATAAAAAAATCCAGACTTGTAGGTAGTCAGGGGACCAAGAACAGAGTCAAAATAAAATACGAAATGGCAACCTTCTTCTACAAACAGGTAAAACAGGCACCTTACCTCACCAAAGTGAGGTGGGAGAGAGTACCACCCACAGTCATTCTAAGAAGTGAACTCTGACCTTAGGACTGAACATGTAGTTTCTTCTATGGTAAATAAAATTTGTAGTCTAATTTTGTAAATTTGGGAGTGCTTCAAATATGACGTTAAAACGGTTTTATGTCGTTACAAGTGCAGTGGCGTAGCGTAGTGGGGGGGCGCCCCCGCCGCCCCGGGCGGCACTTCTTAGGGGGCGGCAAACTTTCACAATAAATAATAATAATATCTTGTAAAAATTTGAACCATTCTAATCTATATTTGCGTCGCGCCTATGATAGTGCTATCGTCCGGACAGTCCGGGAATAGGCTCGCCGTCCGGGTGAACTAGTAATTTCATCCGAGGATATCCTGACCTTTTTTTTTTCTTTGCTTGTACGATTCATTCGCATTCATATACACCACCAATATCCAATAGAGCTATTTTAAACAGGTCGCTGCACTAGCACGGAATTTTTCATTCCTTGTTCTGTGACAAAATTGAATTTTAGTCTTTTAAATTGAAATACCTAAATAAGGTGGAGACCCAATTTTCCTCCGCCCCGGGCGGCTGACATCCACGCTACGCTACTGTACAAGTGGGATATTTAACATTATCTAGTATAGTAAAATCGTAGGACCGATAAAAATATTAGGGTTATCGTTACATTCGATGACATTATAATCGGGTTAAACTGTATATTGTTTGTGCAAAATAAAAAAAATAATTTCGGAAGATACAATACCCACGATTATTTTTTTTTCAAAAACGGGAACTTTTCGTTACGCATCGACAAAAATTCAACCCGAGCCGACACGCAACGGAGAGAAATTTTGAAATTATATAGGTTAATTTCATCGAAGATGCATCGTGAACGACCTCGTGATCGTGGCCGGCGAAATTTGAACTATCGCGCCCAAAAACAGCGATATCAAAGAAGATAGGAGAATGAGAACGAGACCTGCCTTGAGCATCAAAGTGATTCCGCTTAGTAGTGAGTCTCCGAGACACAGTCTTGTCCCAAATACGGTTTTGCCGTTTTACTTGGTTTTTTTTATTACTGGAAATAATGGTTGAAAGCAATGTATCATTCCTTCTGTTAGTATGAAATCAGATTTCTTGATGGAATGATATAAATACATGGTCATCCACCAATNATAATCGGGTTAAACTGTATATTGTTTGTGCAAAATAAAAAAATAATTTCGGACGATACAATAGCCACGATTATTTTTTTTTTCAAAAACGGGAACTTTTCGTTACGCATCGACAAAAATTCAACCCGAGCCGACACGCAACGGAGAGAAATTTTGAAATTAGATAGGTTAATTTCATCGAAGATACATCGTGAACGACCTCGTGATCGTGGCCGGCGAAGTTTGAACTATCGCGCCCAAAAACAGATATATCAAAGAAGATAGGAGAATGAGAACGAGACCTGCCTTGAGCATCAAAGTGATTCCGCTTAGTAGAGAGTCTCCGAGACACAGTCTTGTCCCAAATACGGTTTTGCCGTTTTACTTGGTTTTTTTTATTACTGGAAATAATGGTTGAAAGCAATGTATCATTCCTTCTGTTAGTATGAAATCAGATTTCTTGATGGAATGATATAAATACATGGTCATCCACCAATAATGTCAATTTAAAAAAGTGATGTAATCGGTTATTACGAGCATTTATTTCTTTGAGAATACGGATTCGAATACAATTAAATACCTAAGAATTTTTTAAAATAGCCTGACCGGTTATGCTCAAACCTGTTCTTCATCGACGGTCGGATAGCTGAGCGGTCAAGGTGACAGCCTACCGCTATGAGGGACCGGGTTCGAATCCGGTCGGGTCGATAAAGCCCAGGAATTTTTCGGGGATGGTCCATCCAATGGTGCGGTCGGGCCTCGTCCCTCACCACCCGACCACACCATTGTAGGTTTGGTCAAACCCATAATGGGTTTGTGAAAAGAGGCCCTTTTAGTGCCCACAGGGCGGAAAGAGTTAAAAAAAAAAAAACCCGTTTTCCACCATCGACCATTCTTTCCGGAATATGCAGAACTCATAAAAAAAATATAATTAATGAATTAATAAGTATAATTCATTAATTTTATTTTTAAATGTAAAAAGTGTATACAATAAATATATATTTAATATTTTTGTTGCCATAATTATTTATGATTTCGGTTGTATTTAGGCGATTATTTAATGTTTGTCATTTGGCATTGGTGAATCTGTTAGATGGATGCTGTCAGGTAAGCGTGGTTTTGATGTTTACATTTGATACATTATCATTTTAATATCTTAGCAACAAACGATAAACATTTCGAATGTTGCTTATAAACTATTAATATCACTCGTCTCAAGTCCTTAAGTTACAGCTAATACAATAGCTTTAAGAATAAAAATGTGTATTATTGTAATAACATTTTATTATTAATGATTTATCTCAGTTTGAAGTTAAGTGATAAAATGGTAACAGAAACAAATTATTTTATAATGCAAGTTAACATTTTACACTTTCTTTTATGAATAACAGTATAAGAAAGGTGGTGAAATTCATTTACAGGTTTGCCTTAGATCAGTGTTTCTCAACGGGGGCGATATCGCCCCCATGTGGGCGTTTTTCCATGTTGAGGGGGCGATTAGTAACGATTTATATTTTGGGGGGTGAAAAACAATTTTCTGGGCGATATAGTAAAACAATATATTAAGAATAATTAGATATTTTATTCGTTATATCATACAACAATTAAACAAATAACATTATACTAGTCACTAGTCTATTCAATGCAGAACGAATTTGGAGTTAGTCTTGGCCCTCGGCATTGGAATTTTGTAATGAAGGGACTATACTAATGGCCCCTTCATTACAAAATTCTGTATTGGCTTCAGTAATGGCAAACTTCAGTAATGGCTTTACTGAATAGGGCGATACTACGTAACGGTTCTACTGAAGGGGGCTATACTATATAGCGGTTTTACTGAAGGTCGCAACGATTTGTTAGAGTTTGAGAAACACTGCCTTAGATAATGGGAACCTTGGTTAATTGGTGTGGTTCTATTGTAGTTACAAAGTGTGTGATATTCAGTATTATTTGAAAAAAATTGAAATTTTAAGACTAATTCAAAATAAAAGAGTTAAAATGTCTTAAATAGAATTAAAAAAAGAAAGAAGAAATATTTGCTTTTGCACTTTTTTTTTATCTATCTTTTCTCTGTTTAGATAAAAAACAGAAACATTTAAAAAATTTTTCTATATTTTATTCTTTCTAAAATATTTTAATGTGTTTTATTCAATGATCATTATGACATTAGTTAATTTCAAATTTAAATGAAGTTTTAAGGAACATTCTTTTAATTTATTATTATGGAAATACCTGAAAATTATAATTTCTAAAATCGTTTAAAATGCAATTATAAAGGTACAGAAAAATTTCTGGTGTTTTATAAAAAATAGATACATTGATATTTTAAAGAAATATATTTCTGAAATAATTGAACATTCCTAAAGAACTAACAAAAAATTTATTTTTTCAGATGTAAAACAGGTTAATTATAAGGTTTAGATATGCCAGATGAAAACAAGAATTTGAAGTAGTAGCAGAATATGCTAATTAATCAGTCAAGTAAAATATTTTTTAATGATATCAGTATCACAAAACATTAACAGTAATAGTTTATTAGAGTTTATACAAATAATAATAAATAAGTTGAATACTGTATTTCTCAAGACTTATCTCAAAAACTTTTTAATTAAAGTTGCAAAACTTGAAAAATTAATAATAATAAATTTGCATAATTTTAGGGAAAATGTTCTTAAGCAATTTTTTTTTGAACATTTTTATTTTATTTTCAGAGAACTGTTGAAATATTAATTATTATGCAACATATTTAAAATGTTATTTGGTCAACTAGTTATTGGTCCTCCAGGATCAGGAAAAACTACATATTGTGATGCCATGTCTCAGTTTCTACAGTCCATGGGAAGAAAGGTGGCTATTATCAATATAGATCCAGCTAATGATGTTTTACCTTATAAACCTGCAGTGGATATTTCTGAATTGATAACAGTACACGATGCAATGAATTACTGTAGTTTAGGACCTAATGGCGGGTTAATATATTGCATGGAATATCTAGAAAAGAATTTTGATTGGTTATTAAATGAAGTAAATAAGCTCTCTGATCATTATTTACTTTTTGATTGCCCTGGCCAGGTATTCCTTACTTTACATACAATTTTTCTTTAAAATATTCAAAAGTTTAAATTTTATTTTTTCATTTAGGTTGAATTATATACACATCATAATTCAGTAAAAAATATTGCAGCTAAACTACTGAAAGCAGATTTGAGACTGGTAGCAATGCATTTGGTTGATTCTCATTATTGTAGTGATCCAGCAAAATTTGTGGCTGTGCTTTTAACATCACTTTCAACAATGCTACAAGGTATTAAAAAAGTATATCCTTTTTTCACATTGAGATGTTTCTGTTATTGATATAACATTTAAAATAATAATATTAACTCAGTATTGTTATATGGAATAAAACAATATTTCTTGTTTATTATAAAAGCAATCATTATTTGTCTTGAAATTATTAATATATAATTTACTTTTTGTTAAAGAATATAAAATAATTCATTTTAAATATATTATTAAAACGATTGAAATTATATTGTATCATGTAACCATTTTCTAATTCATTCTAAACAGATTCAAACATGAATATTTATGATTAACGATATACTACGTGTGATTCAATTTATTAGTAAAAACAAACTTAATAATCATAATTAAGATATTTAGAAAGTTTTTGTAAATGGTTTTATGATTAAATGATATCCTCTTAATTACTAATAAAAATAAGAAAAAATACATGTTATTTATAAAATTATAAAATACATTAGTTAAAATAATATTAACTAATATTTTGTTTTTAAAGTGGAACTACCTCATATCAATGTATTGTCCAAAGGAGATATAATAGAACAATATGGAAAATTGCATTACAATATTGACTATTACACAGAAGTTCTTGATCTATCTTATTTACTTGATAAATTAACAGTAAGTATATAATTTGTAATTTTAAACTTTCTAGTAATATTAAGTCATTTAATAAGCTATTTGATAATTATTATATTATATTATATATATATTATATGCTAAGTCATATTATGCTGAGTTCATATTCAGTTGGGATTAACAAAATAGTAAAATAAAATTATGTAAAACTGTTATACAAAAAGGCTTACAGATAAAGTTTTCGAAAGGAAAGGTGGTGAAAGGCAGTTGATGGAATTACCAAAGCAAGAGATAAGGCATTAAAAGATTTTACTTCTATTAAACTGATTAAAGATGATAAAGGAGTGGTATTACAAGATTATGAAAGGGTCAAGGAAAGATGGAAAGTATATTTGAGGAATTTATTGAATTAAGAAAATACCAGAACTTTATACTAGAATGGAGAGGCAAATAAACGAGTGGTGCAAGATATTAACAGAGAAGAAGTGGAAAGTGTGCTTAGGAAAATGAAGTTGGGGAAAGCAGTGGCTTTTTTGCTGGGAAGGAGTAAGACTGATGCTATTGTGAAATCAGCTGGGGTTACGGAGTAAGTAGGACTCTTGTAACATTTAATCGGCACTATTCCGTGAGAATAGTCTCAAAGGTTTCAGATCATTGGATCTGATCCTTGTCAAGATTTTTGACCAGGAGGGCTGTAATATTTAGGTAAAAGGGGAATTCAAGACTGTGAGGTCTTTATCCCAAACGTCAGGGCTGACACCAGTTTATCAGTTATTTTACACGCGGATAAACACGCATGGGGGGAGATCTGATTCAGATTCAAATTAAGAGACAATTCTTTTATAAAACAAGAATAAATTTAATAAGTAAATAAATCTATTACAAGATATAAATGATTAGGAGATATAAATATGACTATCAAGATACATGTCAAGATAAATACGAACTATATTATAACCTATACGAGAGATTGAGAGATATATGGCCTTATATCTAACCGATACACGATCGAGAGAGAGAGAGAGCTCACAAAATCATTAGAAACATACAACCTGTGTTAGTTGTTCTCAACTTCTTATGTATTTGATGTATTTGCCACACTTCTTGAGTATTCTGTATTCTCTTCTCTTCTTGAGAGATTACTTAAAATGGGAATGTCTATATTTATAGAGGTAATTCTTTGTATGTTGTATGGCTCATAGGCGTTGGCCTTTAAGAGCAAACATGTGGAGTTCGGACACTTCCAACTCTGTCGATGAGCTCCCCGAATTCTGACAAATTTCCCCTATATGTCACGATCGGCGACCAATCATCATGCAAGATTCCTCTGTGAGAACGGATGGAAAGGAGAATACGACAGGGGGTAAACATTTCCCATCAAAGCGAGAGTTTTCGCAGATAAGGGAAAAACAGAGGATGTACTAACTTCTGTGAAAGGAAGTAACATCGGTTATCTATTTTTCCCATTCTAAAACGTCATTTTTTTCTCACCCAAACAAAAGAATATTTTATAACAAAATATTAACATTATTAATAAATCACTATTTTAGCCCAGGGGCCTTTCAGGTCTCACACTATCTTTGCTCTAAAACAACTGATGGAAAGGCACAGGGAGATGCAGGAAGTTTACACATGGTGTTCATAGATCTAGAAAAGGTGTATGATAGAGTACCAAGGCAAGAGATATGGAGTTTGAGGGAAAAGAATGTTTCAGAAAAATGTTAGGCTTGTCAAGGAAATGTATGAGGGAGCAGAGACTCAAGTTAAGAGTAGTGTGGGCACTACAGAAGGGTTCTTTGTTAATGTTGGCTTGCATCAGGGTACACCAACAGAAGAACTCACAACCTATTGGTCTTCTCTTTGGTCCACACAATGCTGATGCAGGCTGGATCGAGGAGGAGAACAAAAACTTGCACAACTTACCAACTATGCCCTGTGCTGAAATAAATGTACACATCCTCTACACTATTAACAGAACACACAATTGGAAGACACCTGGTGTAGACAACATTCACAATTTCTGGTACAAGAGGTTTACATCACTACACCAGGAACTAGCTAAACACCTAACACACATCATCATCATCAATCCACAAGATATGCCAAAATTTCTTACTCAGGGCATCACCTACATGAAACCTAAAAACAACAACACACAGACCCCACACAATACAGACCAATTACATGTCTCCCAACACACTACAAATTATTGACATCCTGTATCACAAACAAAATATACAAACATGTTGAAGAACACAACACAACATTCTTACAGAACAACAAAAAAGGTTGCTGAGAAATCACAGGGGATGCAAAGAACAGTTACTCATAGATTCAGTCATTCTACGGCAAGCACACAAGCAACACAGAAACATACACATGGCATATATAGACTACAGAAAAGCATTCGACATCATTCCACACAGTTGGCTGCTACATATTCTACACATGTACAAAATACATCCATCACTCATTGCATTCTTCCAAAATGCTATGCAGCATTGGAGAACAACACTACATCTCAGGGTTCATAATACCTCCATACACAAAACCAAATATTTATTAGGCAAGAAATTTTTCAAGGTGATTCCTTGAGTCCTGTCTGGTTCTGTCTAGCCTTGAACCTATTATCCAACATGTNATATTATGCTGAGTTCATATTCAGTTGGGATTAACAAAATAGTAAAATAAAATTATGTAAAACTGTTATACAAAAAGGCTTACAGATAAAGTTTTCGAAAGGAAAGGTGGTGAAAGGCAGTTGATGGAATTACCAAAGCAAGAGATAAGGCATTAAAAGATTTTACTTCTATTAAACTGATTAAAGATGATAAAGGAGTGGTATTACAAGATTATGAAAGGGTCAAGGAAAGATGGAAAGTATATTTGAGGAATTTATTGAATTAAGAAAATACCAGAACTTTATACTAGAATGGAGAGGCAAATAAACGAGTGGTGCAAGATATTAACAGAGAAGAAGTGGAAAGTGTGCTTAGGAAAATGAAGTTGGGGAAAGCAGTGGCTTTTTTGCTGGGAAGGAGTAAGACTGATGCTATTGTGAAATCAGCTGGGGTTACGGAGTAAGTAGGACTCTTGTAACATTTAATCGGCACTATTCCGTGAGAATAGTCTCAAAGGTTTCAGATCATTGGATCTGATCCTTGTCAAGATTTTTGACCAGGAGGGCTGTAATATTTAGGTAAAAGGGGAATTCAAGACTGTGAGGTCTTTATCCCAAACGTCAGGGCTGACACCAGTTTATCAGTTATTTTACACGCGGATAAACACGCATGGGGGGAGATCTGATTCAGATTCAAATTAAGAGACAATTCTTTTATAAAACAAGAATAAATTTAATAAGTAAATAAATCTATTACAAGATATAAATGATTAGGAGATATAAATATGACTATTAAGATACACGTCAAGATAAATACGAACTATATTATAACCTATACGAGAGATTGAGAGATATATGGCCTTATATCTAAGATATAAATGATTAGGAGATATAAATATGACTATCAAGATACATGTCAAGATAAATACGAACTATATTATAACCTATACGAGAGATTGAGAGATATATGGCCTTATATCTAACCGATACACGATCGAGAGAGAGAGAGAGCTCACAAAATCATTAGAAACATACAACCTGTGTTAGTTGTTCTCAACTTCTTATGTATTTGATGTATTTGCCACACTTCTTGAGTATTCTGTATTCTCTTCTCTTCTTGAGAGATTACTTAAAATGGGAATGTCTATATTTATAGAGGTAATTCTTTGTATGTTGTATGGCTCATAGGCGTTGGCCTTTAAGAGCAAACATGTGGAGTTCGGACACTTCCAACTCTGTCGATGAGCTCCCCGAATTCTGACAAATTTCCCCTATATGTCACGATCGGCGACCAATCATCATGCAAGATTCCTCCGTGAGAACGGATGGAAAGGAGAATACGACAGGGGGTAAACATTTCCCATCAAAGCGAGAGTTTTCGCAGATAAGGGAAAAACAGAGGATGTACTAACTTCTGTGAAAGGAAGTAACATCGGTTATCTATTTTTCCCATTCTAAAACGTCATTTTTTTCTCACCCAAACAAAAGAATATTTTATAACAAAATATTAACATTATTAATAAATCACTATTTTAGCCCAGGGGCCTTTCAGGTCTCACACTATCTTTGCTCTAAAACAACTGATGGAAAGGCACAGGGAGATGCAGGAAGTTTACACATGGTGTTCATAGATCTAGAAAAGGTGTATGATAGAGTACCAAGGCAAGAGATATGGAGTTTGAGGGAAAAGAATGTTTCAGAAAAATGTTAGGCTTGTCAAGGAAATGTATGAGGGAGCAGAGACTCAAGTTAAGAGTAGTGTGGGCACTACAGAAGGGTTCTTTGTTAATGTTGGCTTGCATCAGGGTACACCAACAGAAGAACTCACAACCTATTGGTCTTCTCTTTGGTCCACACAATGCTGATGCAGGCTGGATCGAGGAGGAGAACAAAAACTTGCACAACTTACCAACTATGCCCTGTGCTGAAATAAATGTACACATCCTCTACACTATTAACAGAACACACAATTGGAAGACACCTGGTGTAGACAACATTCACAATTTCTGGTACAAGAGGTTTACATCACTACACCAGGAACTAGCTAAACACCTAACACACATCATCATCATCAATCCACAAGATATGCCAAAATTTCTTACTCAGGGCATCACCTACATGAAACCTAAAAACAACAACACACAGACCCCACACAATACAGACCAATTACATGTCTCCCAACACACTACAAATTATTGACATCCTGTATCACAAACAAAATATACAAACATGTTGAAGAACACAACACAACATTCTTACAGAACAACAAAAAAGGTTGCTGAGAAATCACAGGGGATGCAAAGAACAGTTACTCATAGATTCAGTCATTCTACGGCAAGCACACAAGCAACACAGAAACATACACATGGCATATATAGACTACAGAAAAGCATTCGACATCATTCCACACAGTTGGCTGCTA